GGAAAATAAATGCAGACCAGCACAAAAACAAAAGCTTTCTGAGGAAGCATCCTATGCCAGCAGGAATGTATGCCAAGGCATCCACAAGAAAAAAAGACGACAGAAAAAAAAGCAACCAGTCACTCCCAAAATAGGCAAGATAGTGGAACCATGAAAAACCACAGAAGACTTCTTTTCACTTCCCCATTTCCCTTGGCCTCTCAGACCAGCACATCTGGTAGACTAAAAGCTGGAAGGGTAAGGCATGTAGCGGAGAGCCCTAGGGGCCTGTCAGGGGTTCGGCACTTGCTGCTGGACTCTCCAATGCCGTAAAACAAGGTCTTAAGTTATACTGAGATTATAAACACAATTTGGGGCCAGGAGGAGAAGCCAAACAAGCTCAACACCCAGCCACAGAAAAGCATGTGGAATTTAGGCAGTGCAATGGCAAGGAGGGGAATGCAGGCTTGGCCCTTCCAGACATCTGAAGCTCAAGTTATTTCCACGTTGCAAAATACCTTAGGAGACAGGCAATTTTTCCACTAAAGTTCGCAAAAAGGATGACAGAGATCCTGTCGGTTGCTTGGCAAATTTTCCCCTCAGCAAATCGGAAGCAGTTGTTTGCTCAATGGCTGTACATTGTCAGGAAATTTGCTGCATTTCTTCAGTGAGAATCCTGCCTTGTGCACTCTCCAGACAGTCACCCATGCACTGAGACTCAGCATATTGAAAATCATCAGCAAATTAATCATCTCAAGACATTTTTAATACCAGAACTTTTTTTCTGTAGGTATTAGCACTTTTAAAAAATTTATTATTATCCTACTGAAGCAATCAGTGTCTGAGACTGGCCACTGATGGCTGCCACTGAGGCTACAGCTGGCCAAATGGCAAACTTGTACAAGGCTTGACCTCAGTATAAAACAGTATAAGAGCTTTTGTGTTCCCACGAAGCACATACCTCAGGCTCAGAACTCCCCCCCCCCCTCCAACCACTTAAAACCCCATGTAATTTTCAGAATAATTCACAGATAGTTTATGCTAATTTATTCCTGTGCCAAAATTGCCAAATTGCCACTTCACTTGAACAGCCTGTTTTCCTCCTCAGACACAAAGATAGCAGTCATATCCCCCTCAGTCTTTTTCTGCTGAGTATAAGGCAGCAAATGAAATTTGGTCTTGTAAGAGAAACTTGTAATTACTCTTTCCTCCACATAATGCTGCCAGGTTGGTCAAGAATGATGACAGCAACCCAAATGTGACAAAGCAGCTGGTGGCTCTGAGTTCATTTATGTTGGGTTGTCTGTAGATAGGGTTAAGACAAAAAGATCTGGGTGTATTAACTGGTTGGATAAAGCTTTTTACATGTTTTATGAAGATGGAGTTGGCCATTTTGGTGCACTCCTGGTGGCTCAACAATTTTTTTTTTTTTTCACAGAATCACAGAATCATCTAGGTTGGAAAAGACCTTGAAGGTCATCTAGTCCAACCATTAACCTTACACTGACAGTTCCCAACTACACCAGATCCCTCAGCGCTATGTCGACCCAACTCTTAAACGCCTCCAGGGATGGGGACTCCATCACCTCCCTGGGCAGCCCATTCCAACACCTAACAACCCCTTCTGGAAAGAAATGCTTCCTAATATCCAGTCTAAACCTTCCCTGAGGTTTAGACCAGGTCATTGAGGCCATTCCCTCTTGTCCTATCGCTTTCTACTTGGTTCAAGGGACTCATCCCCAGCTCTCTGCACCCTCCTTTCAGGGAGCTGTAGAGGGCAATGAGGTCTCCCCTCAGCCTCCTCTTCTCCAGACTAAACACCCCCAGTTCCCTCAGCCGCTCCCCGTACGACCTGTGCTCCAGACCCTGCACCAGCTCCGTTGCCCTTCTCTGGACACGCTCGAGTCATTCAACGTCCTTTTTGTAGTGAGGGGCCCAAAACTCAACACAGGAATCGAGGGGCGGCCTCACCAGTGCCGAGTACAGGGGTCAGATCCCTTCCCTGTCCCTGCTGGCCATGCTATTGCTGACACAAGCCAGGATGCCATTGGCCTTCTTGGCCCCCTGGGCACACTGCTGGCTCCTGTTCATCGGGCTGTCAATCAACCTGTCTCTTATACACAT